CCCCCCCTTGACACGGAAAATTGAAAGAGAAATAGGTTTCAAGAAGTACCTACATGGACCAATCGATGCAGGGCATGGACCAATGGATGCAGGGACAAAGCTGAAGGCAAATTTAGGACCGGGGGCATTGGCCTTCGAGAACTTAGACGAAGGTTTCGGAAGGTAGACGATGAAAACAAGTTCGAATGTGAACGCGGCTCCACGTGCGAAGACCGGGTTCATATAGTTGCGGAATATTCGTTGTACAAGAAAAAGAGTTAGTAAAAGGAAGATAAAGGGAGATGTTTGAGGCATGGAATAGCCAGGAGAATACGGTAGCTAGCTGTACTGGGACATGGAAAGCGGGTTGAAAAGGCGAGAAGTGATATCGATAGGATAAATTTGCTAGGGAAAACATGTTTCGAGCCACCTTTGGCAACGTAGGAAAGAACGATTGGCCATCGGTGATCGGTCCTGTGGAGGCGATTCTCCGTCCTCTCGAGGACGCGTGATCTACGGTCCAACCACAAAAGTATGCAAAACGTCAGAGTATACCCCCACCATTGACAATTTGTCCCCGATATTGTTGACGTGTTCATCGACGACACGTTGAAATCCGTGGAGGCAGTTAGGAAGGGAGTACAGGTAGGGGAGACTTTGCTGTCGGGAAAGTTGCTTGTGGATGATTTGTTGGTGTGTATATACCCCCAACGGCAGATTGACGCAGCGAAGTATTTTGCATTTGTCTCTGGCATTGGGAGCCGCCTTTGCAGCGTATGCCACCCCCGTTCGCCGCTTCAATCCCATAACTGAACATACGAAAGTTTGGGTGACTCAACCACGCTCCAGGACAGTGGTCGCGAAAAAGACGGAACAAGGAAAGTATGGGTGGGACCTCAGGCCGGAGCTGGAGGCCTCATCCAAAATCCAATACTTAGATTGAATCATCCTAGGCCACGAGCAATAATACAACAGTAAAATCGGCTCTGCAAACGAAATCAAATTCGGCACGAAAATGGATGTAGGCGTCTGTCCCGGTAACATGTTGAAATTTGCATACAGCCGATCATTGTCTTTATCCCTACCGTGAATACGCGAGAACACAGGGTAGGAAATAAGTATTTTCGAGACCACCCCACCCACCCTGCAGCTACTGTTGTATTGAGGCTCAAAGCCTCAGGATCATTTACAGATTCATTGCCGCGCCGACTGCAGTCGGCGCGGCAGTGCATTCGTGGGACCGCCGGCCTCAGAGCTGGAGGCCTCATCCAAAATCCAATACTTAGATTATATGATCCTAGGCCACGAGCAATACTACAACAGAAGTAACAAGAGAGTCAAAGAGCCCAAGGCGGCGCAGATGAAAACGGCGAGAATTATCCTAGGATGCTCCAAGCGCATAAGAAATGCATGCAGCAGTATAGGCCGAACTGGGTCCAGTGCCTACGATCGGGACAGACGTAAGGAAGCTAGAATGGCGGTCCATATGTGTATGTGTGATGTTGGAGAGGAGAGGTTGCCGAGAATAGCTCGGGAGGCAAGTTGGCTACACCAGGAGAGAGGTAGACAGACCAGGGAGCAGGCTGCGGTTGTAGATGACGTATGGAAGGGGTTCGAAATTGACGAAGTTGATATAAATCGGTAGGCCTACAAGGGGTGTAAGAAGAAGATAACTGTTGCTTTTGCCGATAGAGAAGAACAGAATCTAACGAAGGAAACAAGGAAATAAGGAAGGTTTACATAGATGTGCACGGAATGTTAAACGAAGGAATAGGGTTCAAGGAGTTCCAATCTGGACCAGTGGATGCAGAGACGAGGCTGAAGGTCAAAGTTAGGACGCTCGGGACATTTGGCCTTCGAGAGCGTGGACGAAGATGTAGGAAGACAGACAATGACGACGACAAGTTCAAATGTCAATGCGGCACTTAGTGCGAACGCCGGGGTTATACTTGCAGAGTATCCGTTTTATGAAGCAGAGAGATACATGCATGTACATGACTGGGCCGGGAAAAGTAGAAGAAAGGTGCAGAGAGACGATTGAGGCATGGAGTGGCCAGGAGAAGACTGTCGAAACACTGGGGTAGGCATACGAAGTGAGCTGAAAACGAAGGAAGTGATACCGATAAGATAAATTGGCTCGGGAAAGAAACAATTCAGTCACCTTTGGCAAAAGATAAAGGAACGATTGGGCATCGCGGTGATCGATCCTGCAGGAACAATGCTCCGTCCCCTCGAGGCCGCGTGGTCAATGGTCTAACCGCCAAGACATGCAAAACAGGAATAAGCCCACCCAACCCTTTGACCTTACACCAGGTTTCCCAGCAAGACAATCATCGAGAGTGTTTTCTTGCTCAGGATGTGGACAAACTACGATGGGAAAAGTATCGCAAGCGAACGCCTATGTGCAGAGGAGACAGTTTTGTGACGAATCGATCGCGCACCTCACATGACATAGTTTGAAGATCACTAAATCGAACTCACCAGCCGGTACTTGTGTCTCATGTCGCGCTCCTGTGCGGCCACTCTCTGCCTCATCTCCGCCTGATAGTTGATCACAAACTGCGGGTACCCGTCAAAGAACGGATAAGCCCCAACCTTCGGAAGCGGTTTTAACTCCTGAGGGGCTACGCGAAGCAAAGCTAATGCCGCCATCGCCTCGCCCACATCTTCACCATCGCTGTCCACTTGACCTCCCAATCTTTCGGGTTGTTGAACGTAACTCGACACCTTTTCCATCACCCGAAACATCCGTTGGAGGTCGGAGGCCGAGGGTGACTGCTGCCGCCTAAAGAAGGCTTCAGCCTCCTCGATCGACTCCAGGACAAGCAGCTGCTTCCGAAAGGAAACCACGAAGCCCACAACGGCAGCCTCGAGAAGCTCGGGCTGGTGGGCGTTCGCCAGAATTCGATCGATGAGACACAGCCACTCCTCCCGGGCTAGCACCTCCGAGAAGGCACTACGCAGCAGGGGCCACCCGTAGGATAGCGCTCCGACGCTGAGGGACTTGAGGTGGGCCGCGAGCTCCCGATCAGCGCGTTGCAGCGCGAGCTCCATGCCCGCTAGCACCGGCACGGGTGGCTGTGGAAAGGTTACCAGAAGCCGCGACCCCCAGTGCAAAAAAAAAGACACCGCCGCCTCGAAGGCTCCTAAGTCGTCCTATTTTCAATGCGGGAATACACGGGGGCCGGAGATAGCGGAGAAGTGGTTCGTAGCATACAGTAGTTGTGCGTGTTCGCGTATTCTGGCACCGGGGTGCGATCTTTTTCCAACGATCATCCTCTCCAGTTTGTTCATCGCACACGGGTGCCGTAACACCGATGGGTGCGACAACACCGATACCGGTGCGGGAATGCCATCAAATCATGCCGTTCTTGCCTTTTTTTCGCCCCCTGGTGCCATAACCCCGATGGGTGCGAAATGACCGATTGATTGGTCCACGCACTTATACGGTACGCGTTGCACCTGATGACTGTGCACGTAGTCAAATGGTCAGCCTTTATCGAATGGCACCTTCATCAGTTACCGAGCGCGGGAGGGTGCTATGAGGTCCGCACGATTGTTTATGTGTGATGCCTCGTCGAACTACACTACAGTAACTCTTTGTCGTGGTACGTTACAATTGTCCACTCAGGGAAGCATAGACCCAGGGCACCAACCGTTGCGCGCGGCTTTCCATGTTCTAGTTGTTCGCAGTCTACTGCCGGGGTAATGTGGTGTGGTCTGATCAATGCTGTTGCATAACATATGTTATTCCCTGTCTTGAACGAAACAACAGCGAAACAAACACCAACAACGCCTTTGGCTCTGCAACAAGTAGCTCATAGCCTCGCCGTCAATCTGCAGTGCAGGCGACCAACACGTCCGCCGTCCATCATCAAACATCCTGTTTTCAAGCCAGGCACTGGTCGTGTACTTCATCATGTCAAGCACTCGGGGGCGGACGTGAACCGAGAGGGGTGTGCCTGCGTTTGGGAACTCTTTAGGCGACCGTTCAGCAAGGGTGACCTTCCGTACGCGTGCTGTCTGCCAGATTGACCAGCGGCTGCAGCAGGACGTAGTTGTACAGACAGACGGAGTTTCTAGCGGTTACATGACTGTAACCTACAGAACACTGGCTGATATTCCGTGCCGCCTTGAGACTTCTTTCAATTCAAACATGTTCGAGCGAGATCTTTTGGCTCACCTGACCAAAAACCACGCAGAAGGGAAACAGCCAACTCGGCACGAACTCAACCTCCGCCAAGATCGGTGACCAATGAGCCAATGCAGACAAAAGCACGGCCGCTTTCCGAAAGAGTTTTCGGTCGCGCAAGGGGTAGCGGATTGAAAGGCTAGCCAACGCCGCCGGGTGCGGTCCTCTGGATACGAGCTGAGCGAAGTGCTTCGAGTTACCCGGGAGACGTAGCAAGAACTTCCACGCCGTGACGCGGTGCTCAACGGGTAGTCCACCGCGCAATTGAAGCATGGAGCGAATGTCACGTTCGGAAAGGGTCGTGGTTTCGAAGAGATACGCCATGTATGGACGAAACAGGATGGATAGAGCTGGGTTGTTGTATGTATGTATGAAGGTGGTCATATCCAGATATGGGTATTCAGCAGTGCGAACCAGAACCGGCAAGATACGCATAGAAGTAGCCGTTGTCTGCCTGTGGCTCTGGACTAGCTCCTCGGAAAAAAAGCACGTGTCCTCATCAAAAAGCCAAAGCCCACAAGCAAGGTTTGATATCCCCCCGCATTCGCGTGTGACGACAACGTTTTTGACCATCACCTGTGCTGCACACACGCCGGCCCCAACCGTCCTCACCACCATGTGGAATTGTGTAGATAGATGCATACAGCAAAAAGCAACAACTTTTGTTTTTCGGAGATCTTGGAATGGACCAGGGAGGCCCAACAAGGATCCGGTTACGCAAAGCACGATCTTGGTGCCGGACTCTTCGGTTGATTGTGCGCTCCTCCAATCCTCCTCTTGTTCGTAAAGGTGTGGATGCTGTTTGCCTCTGAACAGGCCAAACAATCGACGGGCTTTGGTACCCATGCGGGCTTCCCCGCTTGCCGTTGTTTGTGACACACGCCTGCCGTCGAATAGTCGTGTAAACGGCTGTAGAGGAGGTGGTACGACAACACGGGCACGAACGGTCCTCACAAAAAGTACCAGAAAATGTCTCAGCGTGGGGCACGAACGGTCCGTTGTCTGCCCTCGCAAAGAGTACGGGAAAATGTCTTTGCGTGGGGCTCTATACTCTGTGTGTACAGAGGTGAGCGGTGTATTCATCCTGTGGTTCTGTGGGGTTCCGGATCGGAGCCCCTTCAGTCGAGGGAGGCAAGGCCGAACGTGTACACCTCAGTGTACATGAAGTGCTGGCGTTGTGCGCGCGGCTGGACACAACGGAAAATATATGGGCGCCACAGCAGGAAGTAGCGGAGATAGTTTTTCCCAATGCATGTATCTATTCGGGCCTCAGAAAAAAAAAAAACAGACGATGCCATACGCAGAGCACACAGGACACACTTCATCCGGCCCCCTGACACGTGCAAGAGAAGTTGTTACGAGGGAGACGCAGCATAGGGGGGATCTAAGAAGAGACACAAAGACTTCGCGGCCGGTGACCTATCCCCCTCCGCGGGCGAGAGCGGGAAGGATACCGGCAGCTGGCGGGCGGCAGCCCTCGACCTCTTCGTTCTTTTTTGGCTTTCGGAGGAGAAAAAGAGGCACTGGATATTCTGAGAACGCCCTACAGCCCGCTGTTGGTTGTGGCGTAAGAGAGAGAGAAAGCAGAGAGAGAGCGACACGAGGCTGTTCGTCACGAGGCACAAACTTCACGAACGTGGCTCTCCGACGGGCCGTTTCTCGCTCCACCGCTGCTAGCTTGCCGCCGCGGAGGGGAGAGGCGTCGGCACCACCATGCTGCTCGGAAGCATGGACTCATGCTTGCCACCCAAGAGTCGCAAGAGGTCACTGCGACGCCCATTGAGGCAGTTGTCCCTGGGAGAGCCTCTGCCTGCGAGCCCGCTCATCTCGACACGCAATCTCGTCCCCGGACTGAGCGAGAGCGTGGTGCAGCTAGACATCCTCGGCAAAGGTGGGTGCCGTTGGGAGGGATAGGGGTGTCTGCTTGGTAGTACAGTCGTTATCGCAGCGGCAGCAGCAGCAGCACACCCACGCACGGCTGTCGACGTGTGTGCACAGGCAAGAGGCAGCAGGCACACAACTTGAACTGCTTTTGTTGGCAGGGTCGGGGTGAATGCTGCCTCGCTGAGGTTGTCGGCGAGCCGATTGCGCACTTCGTTCGGTGACTCCCAGGCCCACTCTGTCGGCGAAGCAGATACACCTAGCAAGCGAAACACCAGCGTGGGTTCAGAGGTGCGGCAGCTATCTGCTCTGGTCTGTGCTGCTAAGGTTAACGCCCAAACAAATATGTTTTGGCCAACCTTTCGTCCTTCTTGAAATTTGGAGACAGACGTTATCTATGGTATCACATGTTTCCACAGCGGCGGCAGCAGTCCCATGTGTGAAAATCGTTCGTGTTTTTCGGCAAAGGCCTGTTGTAAGCGGCCATGCTGACGTCTTCATTTGTTGCGGCTGCGCGGGTGCCGCAGCAAGCGCACCCCACCAGGCCTTCAGCGGACCCGCGCGACGACCACTTGTAGCATGCATGCCCCCGACGCCTCTGGCAATCAGTCAGACGAAATTTTCATTTTCGAGTTTTTGAGTCACACACACCCAACGCAGCGACAAAAAATAACGCCAGCAACCACCCCAACAACGGACCTGCTGCTGCGCTCACCCATACTGCTGTATGCCAATTAAAAAAAATCCCGCTCTATCTTGTTTCAGTGTCGTGAGAGCCATATTTGCCCAATCGCTGCTGGCTGGTGCTGCTGTTGCACCTGGCCTCGCCGACAACAACCAACGCGCAGGCGCGACGAGCAACGTATTCCTGGCCGTCCACGCCGCCACCCTCAAGATGGTCGCCCTCAAAGAGGTGACCGTGAGCAACGACGCGGACCGGTGGGCCGTCCGGACCGAGATGCGCGCGCTCAAGACCCAGCGCTCCCCGCTCCTCAACTCGGCCTTCACTACCAAGCTCGCGTCGTGCCCTAGGATAGTCGACTACTACGGCAGCGTCGTGAGGGAGAACGGGAACGCCTGCATAGCGGTGGAGTACGTGGCCGGCGGCAGCCTGGAGAACTGGCTGGAGAACAGCGGCGCGTCCGTGTGCCCCGAGCCGTGGTTCGCGCACATCACTCACCAGGCCCTAGAGGTGAGAGAGAGGAAGCAAAGGAGATGTGCACTTTAGGACGAGCTGCTGCTGTTGGTGGCCATGAAAGTGTTGGCGTGTCATTGTGTGTGCTCGATATAACATACTGTACCTCCTCCCACCCCAAGGATGATGTGTACGGCTGTTCAAAGAATGTGTGGGGTACGACACTGCTTATGTAGCCCATCTGCTTTTTTGTCTTGCGTATAACTTTTCTTGCCTGGTATGGACGATGCGGGACAATCGGCCAACGGGTCTTCACCTTCTGTTCTTTCTAATCTGTCCTCTGTGTGAAACGTGGTGCTTAGGCCACTTGTTACGCTGTCTCTTTTTGGGCTTTCTCTTTTCTCAAAAAGGGAAAAAGTCGCCCAAAAAGGGACAGGATGGGGTGATATTTTTTCGCTGTCCCTTTTCGGGAAGTTCAAAACGCAAAAAAAGACCACGTTACAAGTGGTTTTTGGTCAGTTGTCCCTTTTTGAGAAAAGGGACAGCCCAAAAAGAGAAAGCGTAACAAGTGGCCTTACGATCCACCACAACTCTGACTGTGTGGTAGATCATAAGCACTACGTTCCGCGTTCTTTTTTTTTTTCAAATAGTATCTGTAACAGCAGTACACGCAACCGCTCTTGTCATGACGCATTACATGCAGTTCGTGACGTTGTCGTGGTCTCTGTATGTCGTCGACTATCTCAAGGCAAGCTGAATGGCGGCATCGCTAACAATTTGGACGCACGACGCACGCGCATTTTGAAACGCGTTTGACAGCATTCCCTGCGCACAGCAGCAACAACAACTCGAGCTGCTGCTGCTGACCTTTTCTGTGCAAGCCTAGATGATTAGGGTCACTACATTTGGTGTGTCGTGCGTTTGCATATCATCGATTGGGCCTGTTTTGGTCTTCAATAATTAAAATTGTTATTGCTACCGGCGTCTCTTCGCCCTACGCGGTTAGACAGCAGTACCCATGCCGCCGGTCGCCCCGGTGGTCTAGTTGGTAACCTCGAAACCTTCTAGAGGTCAGGTCAGGGGTTCGAATCCCGGCGTAAGCGAGCTTTTCTTGCACGCTTCTCCTCCTGGCCTAGTGGATAGCGCTAGTTCGTGTGTACACAGAGGGAAGAGAGTGCTGAACTCTTCTGGCATTAAAAATCGGAGGCAACGTACCGCAGGAGGGGAGGGTAGAGTGGGGCTCTTCTGTGTGACCACGGGTTGGAGTAAACGGCACTGGTGCCGTGAGCGCTGATTTGAAGTGATTGAAGACAAAATAAAAAGAAAAAAAATACTGCGAACCTCACAGAAAGTCTATCCGTTCGATCGCAATATTACCAAAACACTCGGGGGGGTGTGTTCAATTCATTTCAGTGACACTTTTGTGTCTATGTTTACAATGTACCATCGGTCGTGATGACATGTAGGTTGATCTCTACTACATGCCCAGAGGGCCTTGTTCGGACTTCTTCAAACCATGTCAGAAGTGTTTGCTTCTCTCCACTTTGCTGTCGCGTTCAGACTGTCTCTAGGGATATCCCTGTCTCTGTGCGAGTTTGTTTGTGTCCTCGTCTTTGCTTTATTCTGTTTTATTTTGTCTTTTGTTTTGTTTTTTACTGGCACGTACCCCCGCCCCTTCCTTTGGCCGTCGACCTGCCTCCATGTAGTGGGAGGCTACCCCCCCAGGCTGGTGGTGCGGCCGTTCCACTAGTCTAATTATTTATTTTATTTTATTTTATTTGTTTCTGATTATATTTTGTTTTCTTGTATTTTATCGCTCTGCTGACCCTTGGGGTCCATTTTATTTTGGTATACCTTTTCTAGGTACGTTAGCCTGTGACCACGGAAATTGGCCGAGTCAAGTGATGGATTAGTACGGAGAGATTGAGACAGAAGGAGGTACTGGATAGAGAGACCGGGATGGTTTTTAATGTGAAGACAACAACAACAACTTACGTGTACACACACGTACATTCCGTTTTTTCTGCTTGTCTTCGTAGTCCGGCGACCTTCGATGCACACTCAATAAATAGTGGCTTCTGCAAGTTGTTTCCTGCCGTCTCAAGAGATAACCGTAAAAAAATCATCCTCCAGAGTTACTCGGAAACTTGGAAGGACTCAACAAAGCCCGGTACACCAACAGGTTGGTTTTCTTCCCCCACCCACTGTCATAGCAGACAGCAGTACTGCAATACGGACCTCCGACTCAAACACGTCCCCAATTAGACGTAGTTAGACGTGGGGTATGCATAGTATCGAACGGGTAGACTTTTCGTGATTTTTTTTATCTTTTCCGGAATATACCAGAATTGCCCTCAGAATACGAGCATCAAAATAAAAAGATATAGTAGCTGTCGCTAAAACGAGCGACAGCTGATAGATGTAACTGTCGTCAGACGTGTGCGTCCGCGGGAGGTGGAAGAGACCCTTTCTTCTTCTTTTTCTCTTTGCAATTCACGTCATTGGTTACCCGCGACGGCGCTGAAGACGCCCATGTCCGTGTACTTGACCCTCGTACTCTGTGCTAACTCCCCAAGTCTAACCTCTTCCTGCAGCCTAGCCTTCATCGTCGGCGAATTTCCAAGGTTACCAATCCTGTCGAAACTCATGGGCTCTACCATGAGGTCCACAAGTCTCTTCGCCCTACTGAGACAGACGAAAGTAAGCC